ATTTCGAAGGGTAAATAATAGATGCAAAATACCTAGCACAATAGCTGAGTTAGTGTTCAATGTGTTTGTTGAATTAACACGTGAATGAGTGGGGGTGAGCGGGTGACGGCATGACTGGCTTTGTGGTTAAGTGAAAATCATGTGATTAGGAGACGAAAAGGCCTTGCGCCTTGTTTCTTTGGTGCTCTCCACGGGAGATATTATGTGATTTATCCTAAAAAGCAGGCATCTCATATTATATTTCATGTTATTGTAAATATCAGATACATTGTGACACCGCCCATTATAATTTGACATGAATTTGTCTGTTCTGAAGGGAAATCATGCCTCTCTTCCCAAATACAACTGTATTATAAAATGACTCCGAACAATACATTTCTTAGGCCCAGACTGTAGACCAGTGTGTGTGCTGGAAGATACTCAAGTATTTTACCATAAGGCTGTTTGGCTTGTAAGACCTCCTGTTTTGTGTAAATCTAAGCAGGCTTAGTTATTAAAAGTGTCCCTAGGACCCAAATGCAAGATAGGTTTTCCTTTAAGGCTAGTGTCAGAACACAAAACTCTAGAAATATTGTTAGAGGTATATATTTGTGGATTTGTGAGATCTTCTTAGGACTCTCTTAATCAAATTTATTTAACAGATTGGCAATGATTAGAGGTAAACCATAGAAAACCTTCTTTGTGTCTTGGTTTCAGCTCAGTCTTCTTTGCAGATCCTTGTATTTTGGGGAGAAAGTCTGACATGACCCAGGGGGGCTAGGAGGCCCTGCTCCTGTCCAGCCTCCTCTCACGCCACTCCTCGCTCACGCAGCCGTCTTGCCACATTGGTCTTTTTAAAGTCCCTTGAAAATGTTACCTTCTTTTCTACCTCAGAGACATAATAATTGATGTTACTTCTTTCTACAGTGTTCTTTATCAACCTTTCCACCTGGATAATTCTTACTTAAAATGCTACTTCCTTAGAAAAGCTGTTCAGATCCTCCAGACTATGTTAAATGCCCTTGTTTGATGGTCTCTTGACATTCTGTATTTTTCTTTCTCAGCACTTACCTTAACCATAATTTATAGTTACTGTCTAAGCATTTATTTAATATGTTTCTCTTTCTAGCTCCATTATGGGAGGGATTATTTCTGAGTTGCTTGTTTTTAGCAGAGTGTTTAGTTAATAGTAAGCATTTAATAAAGATTTGTCATTGAACAAATTCATCAATGCTGGAAATGTGCTTGAAAGGTGCAAAGGTTGGTTCATCATACATCCATTTGTACTTTTAATGATAATGTTGAAGTGAGAGCCAGTGCTTAGTAGTTATAAGGCCTCAGGCACGCTACTTCTGTTCTCTAGACCTCAGCTCATCAGTAGAATGAGGAGGTCAGACTAGACTAAATGATCTGTTAAGGCCCTTTCAATTCTAGGTGCTAAGTATGTCAGTGTTCCACTTACCAAAATTTTAATGCTGACTACTTTATTAAAACTGAACTCATAAAGTAGGTGGAATAGTTTTAGCCATAAAATAGTAAAAGCATTTCTGAAAGTGCTCCTATAAAATGTAAGTGATTTTATAATTTTGAAAAATATTTAGCTAGGCTTATTTTAACATGTATGCACTGCATTTATTTTATATACCTTGGATAAAGAAACAATTCAACATCCCAAACAATCACTGAGTATTTTTTAAAAATTAAAATGCAACAATCTGTATTTACAAAAACAGTCTTTACCAAAATTTAAATATTTATGGGACTTTGGTTAAGCCTATTAGAAGCTTTACTACATTGTTGATTTTTTTTAAAACCTTAACTGTGTTTGTAAATCAATATTTATTATTATCATCGTTATGACTATAAACTATGATCTGAGGGTCCTGCATGTTGTAAAGTCTTATATGATAGTCAGATTTTAACTTTTTAAAAATGATTTTATTTATTTATTTTTGTAGAGAGGAAAAGGGTAGGAGAAAGAGAGGAAATAGAAGCATTGATAGGTTGCCTCTCACACGCCCCCACTGGGGACCTTGTCGGTAACCCAGGCCTGTGCCCTGACCAGGAATCAAACTGGTGACCTTTCTTATTGCAGATCAACACACAACCCACTAAACCACGCTGGTCATGGCTAACTTTTTTGTTTTTAAGCCATTGGGCCATTGTTCTTAAAGGAGCTTTCTAACTAAAACTATTTATTTGAATAACTAATATTTTATCTTCTTTCACAAAAGAATGCAGTAGCATTTAGAGAAACTTTAAATTTATAAGTAACTGAACTGAAAAGAAAAATTGACACTATTCTGAAGTTACTGCTTAAGCAATATCATTTGTATTAGAAAAGTTTGACAGGTCAGTGAAGCTGGCAGTCATTGAGCAGCTGTCTAATCAACAACACTTACCAAACAACTTCAAATGAATTATTTTTTGTGAAACAATATAATTTAATTTGTACTAAATTTATTTTTTTAAACTCAATATCATAAAATTATTCATTACATAAATAGTAAATATAATCATATACCACTTCTGTTGCCTTATTTATATGTAGAAAATTACTCTCCTTCCTAACACCCAGTGATTTTACATACTGTATGTTAACTCAGAAAGAATCAATTAGTTCATCTTTTATTTGCAAGGCACTATTCTTGATGCTAAGCATTATTCTTGATGCTAAGCATTCAAAACTAATTAGGTTGATCAGGACTTCAATAAGGTTACAGTGTATCAAAGGTGGTAAGACATATGGGCATAACTAAATGCAAGGTTGAAAACTGTGATAAGCATCACAAGGAAGGTGCAAGTCAGGTGTTAAGGGTCAATATCTTACATCTCCAGGGCTATCTGCTTGTTCTAAGACTTTGAATCCTCGTTAGTGCCTAACATAGGCCCTTGCATATAAAGCATATTCAATTAATGTTAGCTTAGAAGGTGAGCTGTGAAATTGTTTTCTAAACTATATCTATTTAATGAATGGGATTCTTTTTATCCAAGTCAAACCCAAAGTCTTCCATCTGAAAAGTGTAAAACATATCTAAAATGGTATGTTTTGTTGGACAGAATGTGAAAATTTAACTTTCATGAGTGCCTCTGTCTTTACTGATTTTTATTTCAAGTCTCATTCTCCTAAATCTTACCTGGTAGCCTACTGTTCTGTTTACTCGGATCTGTAAGTTATATGGAATATGACCATACTTCTTTGGGCCTCTAATGTATAAGTAATCAAAATTCTCAAGGAACTCCTAGGCGTCACAACTCTGAGGAATCTCAAAAGTCATGGAGTCTTGCCTCTTTTAGGTACAGCTCACTAGAAAGACGCATAAACTGAGTGATTATCAAAGGTTAGAGGCTGCAATGAACACTATTTCTAAAAAACAATCGATCTGAAGGATTCCTGAGTTTAGTCAGCCTTTTAAAAAATATACTTGTTTCCAAAGACTTGTTTTTCTGCTTTTTTTCCACTAGCTTATGTTTCCTGAAGGGTTGAAGATTCAGTAAAATTGACTTTCTTCTGATCTTGTGAAATATTGAGGTAAAATGGAGGCATAAATGAGTGTAAGAACTCCTGCCTCCCTAAGGTCTCAGGACTCTTTAACACTTAATGCTAGGGCACCGCTGGTCATAATACCAGCTATATAGCCAACCTTTATCAATTCTCCACCATCTCCACTCTTCAGCATAGAACTTTTCTTCACTGGCTTAACCCAAGCAGAAAATGTTCGGAAGCTTCACTTGTCCCTCTTTTGAAGATACCTGGCTGAATTTCAAAGGAAAAGAGTACAACATAGTAAAAAGGAAACAAAAAACACGGCCCTCTTTACTCCCCTAAGTTTTAGCAGATTGACTGACTCTTTCTTGTGAATTTTTCTTGCCACTGAGTCATTGCACATACAGAATTATGAAACTTTAATTTCTTTAGAGGCTTGTTATATTAGAAAAATTGTTCCAAAGAAAGCAACAATCATGACATAAGCACATCTGGCTCTTGCAAATTATTCTTTATTAAGCTTTCATTTAATTACATGTGCTGAAAGGTCTGTTTTTGATTACTGTAATTTTTTTTATTTGTCCATCTGAATGATAGTAATGCTGGAAATTACATACAAACCACCTGTTTTTTCTCCCTTACTAATGTGGTAAAGTTTGAGCTATTTTTTCTGTGGTTGATGAAACTAGGAAGTTTTCTATTTATTATGATAGAAATATGACTATGGAGGTAATGGCTTAATCTTGATGATAAGAAGGAAAGAAAATATTTGAATGAAGTTTTCATGAATTAAGTGGTATTAAAATTGAGGTATATGAGTTTTGGTCAACTAGCAGATCTCTGTGTTCATGTATCACCAATTTCACCCCAAAAAGCTAATAAACTGACAGTTAAGTATTTAACCTCCTGTGCTGCAAGAAGGAAGCTTGATTTTTATTTTATTATTTTTTCCCCACAAATCTGGCTGTATTCTCTTGAGGACTGTACACTGCCTAGAAATAAGACCCTGAGAAGAGAGTGACTTCCACTGGGCTCAGGGATCGTGAGGGCAGCACGGGTGTCATGCAGAAGTATCAGCGTTCCCTCGGGAGCTTGGTCAGTGTTGAATAGGGACGATGTTCTGGTAGGAATCCAGAGGAAAATTCAGCTTAGTTTCTTAGTTCATGAATATTAAAATTACACGAATGGACATACCAACTTTTAAAGAACTTTTAATACATATTTTAGGCACTGGAAAGAATCTTTGAGACCATTTAGCCAAATTCCCTTTTTGTACAATTGAAGAAATTGAGTTCTAGAGCGATCGAGTCCTTTGTTTAGGGCCATACAGTTATTGCTAGAAGGACAGGGACAGAACAGCACTCATTTTTTCTGTTACATTATTTGGTCTCTCTTATTTTCCTCTATAAAAAAGTGGTGAAAGAGAAATTGCAAGGCTGTCAGAGAAATAGCTCTCTAACAATACGGTAAGTTTTTTTGAAATGCCATTTCAGCTGCATTTAAAGAGATAATGTTTGTCTTCCCTGTTTTGCAGCAGCTCTATGCCGCTCAGCTGGCCAGCATGCAGGTGTCACCTGGAGCAAAGATGCCATCAACTCCACAGCCACCAAACACAGCAGGGGCAGTCTCACCTACTGGGATAAAAAATGAAAAGAGAGGGACCAGCCCTGTAACTCAAGTTAAGGTACTTGCTTTGCAGGATTGGGGAAACAGTTTTGAAAATAGCTTCACAAGAAAGGTAGTGAACCAGGCTGTGTTGGGAGTAAACAGCAGGAAACATAGCAACATAAAAGATCCCCAAAATGCTCCTCTTTATGGTAAATTTCATGATTGAGCACTGAGAAACAGGTGTTTCCCTTTTGATAACAATAGTGCCATATTGTGAGATCTTTACCTAAATCTGCAAACTCACTTCTCAAGAGTTTTTCCCCTTTGGATTCTAGCTTTTATTTTTTAATGTTCATTGGCATGAATGGCCATGGTTTTATTACTAGTGTTTGTCATAGGCTTGTGACATTTCTCTCTAAGTTTCTTAAACAGGTGGGGAGCCAACTTATAGTACCAGAGAAGGAGGATCTCAAAAGATTAGATTTTAAAAAGGGAATAACAACAACAACAACAACAACAACAACAACAAAAGAGCTTAATGCTGGACTTTATGTGGTTTGTTGATAAAGCTGTCCCCTTCAAAAATAGTTGTAAATGTGGGCTCTGAGGACTGTGTGGTATCATGCATAACCATGCTTTGATGCCTTTTAGGTTGTGATAAGATAAACAGGCTCTCCCAAGTAAGGGCTAGGACATAACAGATACCTTTCCTCACTGATTTTCAGTGCCTTAGAATGGGGCAGCCAGGAGGTACTTGGCAACTAAGGAAAATTGATGACCTATTTCAACTTTGTGCTGCAGCTGGTACCTATAGGTGGTACTGGTTGGTTTTTATGATAACCTTTCTTTCCTGTATTGAATTAACAAACTCAAACAGTTCAGAAAAACAATTGTTTTGTGTAATTGACTCATTTACTTAGAGGGATATGCTAAGCATAGATACATTATTGTAATGCGCCCAAAGTACCGTATTGGGAGAAAATTTGCAATTCTTAAATCTTCACATGGAAAATATCTAAAGCCCAACAAAAAAAGCATTGAATGCTATAAATTCACTGAAATCATTTTATTTTCTAATATTTGCAGATAGAAATTTTGAGATTTCAAAAAGGCCTTTAAAAAAATATGGATCCCAAATACCGAAGATAAGAAAAGTAAACATCAGTAAGAAAGATAGTTCTGCCTGTGCCCCAAAGGCTTTTAGATTCTCCAGAGAAATAGGTAGACATTTATACTTTGTTGTTAGAAATACTGAGATATGACAATACACTGTTCACATTTACTAAGATAGCACAACTATGGTAACAGACTATTTTGTGTTTCAAGGGTTCCTATTTGTCAATAAGAGTTAGAACACTACAACTTAAACCAAAGCACTTGTTTAATTATAGTTGTTAAAGTATGAGCATATCAAACATCAACGACTTGAGGCCTTGCGTATTAGATATTTTAACATGAAAAAGTCATTTTATAAGTGAGTTGGCCAAATGGAACTGCACCAAACCAAGTCTTTACTGGATGAGTAAAATGTTCCCTGGTTAAATTTAAGTTTATATCTGCTTTTACCATTCCAGCTTTGTGGGCCAGCTGAATTTTATTACTCACTTGACCACATGCAAATTCTTAGGGAGTTCTCTATATAATTTGATCTGACTATATTTTATGTTAATAACAAAGGAAGCATTCCTTATATGTACTAGATTGTTTATTGTATGTGTGGGTAAAAATATATAGACAAAGATAGAAAACAAATGCTTTAAATTTTAAAAATAGCTCCTATCTATTATTGAAGAAGTTCTGAGACAATCTTGTAATTTTCCAATTGAAAGAAATATGATCACTAAAATATCTCATGTTTCTGTCTATAGTCATTGCTTTCCTTGTGTATATAACACGTCCACATCACAAAGGGCATAGTTTGCTGAAGGTAACAAAAATAAACACAAATGGTTTTATGTACCTTCTTCCCCCAGAATTTTTATTCGCTGTAATTGTCAACATCAGAAGTCAAAATGTTTCTGTTCAAATGTCAGTTGTACCATTTTTATCAGTCGTGTCATGTTGGGAAACTTACTTAAATTTTTTCTGCCTTAATTTTCTCCTCTCTAAAATGAAAGTTAATATTATTATGGGTCTTAAATGAGATAATGCACCCTCTATCATATAGTGAGTATTCCATAAATGTTAGTATAGTGATGTTGATGACGATAATCTGATGGTGATAAAGAAGATGGTGGTGGTGGTGGCAGAAGGGCTTGTGATTGAAATATCTGGTTGGATACCAAGAGAGATCCTAACAATCTACCTAGAGGATTACCATTTTCAACCATGAGGGAGAAACAGGGCCAGATTTACTCTGCCAGCTTAAACAACTAAAAGTCAAGACAAGATGTATAAAACAATGGTTTTCAGACATTTACAATAGAAGTACAGGGCAGTGATTCCTGACTAAAGAGAAACAAGTGAGGCAGGCACTATAGTTGTTTCAGTTCACTATCCAGGCAGCAGTGCAGGGTGGGCTATATATGGAGTTTGGCAGCCTCCCTGAGTTAAAGAGACAGAGTTCAGAGTTTAGGGATGTTAAGGCAGATGGAGTTTGTGGGGTAGAGTACCAGAGAGGACAGAGCTGGACCCAGAGAGAGTACATTGAAGATTTATAGAAAGTTCCCCAAATTTAGCTGCATGTATTGATTAGCATATGCATATAAGAAAACTACCTAACATCAGGGAAAAATACAGGAAGAGCTAACAAAAGAGTTATAAGATTCACAAAGGACTGAGAATAGTTTATATTCCATTATGCAGAGTGGAAAGTTCTCCTGATATATGGCTCATCAAGTAGAATCCCCAGAAGGGTATTACCTCAGTAACGGGGCCAAATTATCCTTAGATTAGAAGTGGCTCTGGACTGCTTAACAAAGCTTAAAAGTGTGTTTAGAAAGAACCAAATTGCTCTGTATCTCAGAACAAAGTTTACAGATATTTAAATGAATATGCAAACTCCAACACCCAACAGTGTAATAAAGTTCACAATGTGTAGAATCCATTCAATAATTATCAGGTTTTCTTAGAAGCTAGAAAATGTGAACAATAATGAGGAGAAAACTCAGTCTAGAGAAACAAACCCCAAAATGACGCAGATAATAGAATTAGTAGATGAGCCAGTGAAACCAGCTATTCTAAGACTTTCAAGTATAGCCAAGTGAGGAGATAGGCAAATCTGCTCCCTGAAAAGCATCCATAGAATTTCTATCTAGCCAGGGCAGGCTATGAGGACCAAAAGCAGGTCTGCCACAGTAGAAATGGATTTACATGATTTGGAATTGGTAGGTGCTTCCAGTTCCAGTGGCATTGTTTATGGAAGTGGAAATTATTAAATTATAAAAAGAAATAAATTGGAGTATATGCGAAGCTGAATAAAACCAGATGTTGTAAACTCTGCATGTTTAAGAAGGCAGAGGAAAACATAAGAATTATACGTGAAGACATGGAAGACCTAAATTGAATGTTTGGAGATGAAAAATACAGTGTTTGAAATGAAAAGTGCCCTGGATTAGTACTTGATTGAGATTAACAAGAAATTAGACATTACAGAAGATTAGGGAACTTGATTATATAACAATGAAACTGTTTGAAATGATCTACACAGAAAAAAGAGAGTGCTGTGGGAAGCAATTGACCCAATAGATGCAACTGAAGCCCTGACAGGGTAACGAGCAGAACTCTCCTAAAGAAGCAAGAGCTGCCGATTACCCAAATTTGAAGGCAATTCTGGACTTATGTATCCAAGAAACTCAGTGAACCCCCAAATAAAGAAACATGGGGAACACTAACTAGATACTTAGCATGTTAATCACTGTTATTTAGACTTAAATAAAGGAACTAACTTGTCTAAATATCCTTTGAGTTCAGAGCAAAAGGAAATACATTGTAATTAAGCATATTGGATAATTTTGACATTGATAATGCATATAACTGTATTAGCTAAGAACCTATCCTATGTCTAGACATAAATAAAAAAACATTGTAACATAGATGTGCCCAATTACCTATTTCCTACCATGACAAAAACAAAAACAAAAAACTGTAGGGCATCACTACATTATCAAATGACTTATTGTCTCTGATAGTATAGAAGTAAAGGGCTATGGGATTTGGAGTCCAGTAAACTGTAATTCAAATTTTTATCCCTCCATGTATAGTTTGGACAATGATTTTATCACTCTGACCCATCTCCCTCAGCAAATTTTTAATAATATTGCCCACCTTCATAGATTTATTGATAGTGAAATGAGCTACTATGTATGGAAATGTCTAGCATAGTGCTTGGTTCATAACAGCTCCTCTGTTGAATGTTATATATATATTTTTTCTGGCTCTACTTCCTGAGTACTATTTTCTGGCATCCATTTTTGTTTCCTCTTAAACAATGACCACTAATGCTGGAAGAGACCTTAGAGATCAGCTAGAATTCGGCCCCTCTCTTTTCTCCTGCAGATGAAGAAATGGAGTCCCAGAGAGGCCACGGGTTTGCCAAAGGGGAGAACACTCTGTTTCCAAGCTCTACTGTGTTTTAAACAGTAACATGAAAAGCAAGTTCTCTGTGTCTCCTCAGAAGCAAAACAGGAATTAACATTTGCTGACGATTTTATTTTAGAGCACAATAATGCCGATCTTAAAACTGAACATTTAAATGAATATGCTCATATTACAAATAAATTTCTAGCATGATGGAAGGGTTGTTATGGGTATTTGATGGCAGGATAAATGAGACAAACTAGAGGCAAGGAGCCTAGCTTTCAAGCTTCTGGTTAAACTAGAGTTACAAGCAAGATATTTGAACACTGTGCTCAGTAAAGGACGGGCATCTTAAAATAGATATTCTGTAAATATATGAGGCAAAGATATAAAGAGACATCACTTTAGACATGAGAAATAAATTGCATATAGCATGGTATGTAAAATGTAATTATAATGTGTGCTAGCTCTTTGCAAAAATTAATTTTAAACATGAGTAGAGACCAGAACATAGACCATGAAGAGCGCCCACACCCAGAAAGCCACATAGAAGCCATGCTGTGGCGTGTGGCTCCCCGGGCAGAGGGCCAGGGGGTCGGAAGAAGGCTTCCCGTGTTTCCATTTTTAAAGTCCTTGCAATTGTTTGATTTAAAATATATATTAAAAAATTAGCTGCAGAGCCTATTTATAGTTCCAAGAACTTTTTAGAGAGAATAACACAAAAGCACTACAGAGCTGCTGAAATTTTAAATAATTCTTTGTAAATGCCCTAGGTTAATTTAGATCCCTGAAAACACATTAGGAAATTAAGCTGTAATGTGAGCTAATTCAGATTTTAATTTGGCAAAAAGAATGATCCAACTACACAGTTAATGTAAATAGAAGCATAACACAGGGAAATTAATGAGGTTTCCTTCTGATGAATCTTCAAGGAGGTAGATAATTAGCTTCTTTTGTTATGATTGTAGGAGAATGTGGCATTGTCTCTGAGGTGTAAAATAACTGTGGCTTACTAAGTGATAATGTGCTTCATTTGTCTTTTTTTTTTAATAATTATTTATGTTAAACTCTTGTAGGATGAAGCCGCAGCACAGCCGCTGAATCTCTCATCCCGACCCAAGACAGCTGAACCTGTAAAGTCCCCAACCTCTCCCACCCAGAGCCTCTTCCCAGCCAGCAAAACCAGCCCTGTCAACCTGCCCAACAAAAGCAGCATCCCCAGCCCCATTGGAGGAAGCCTGGGAAGGGGATCCTCTTTAGGTAAATGGAAAGGTCAACACCAGGAAGAGACTTATGAATTAGGTAAAAGAAAGCAAACCTGTTGAGTGATGACTGCTCCTTATTTCCAAAGTGTTCCTTAGTCCAAGGGGAAAGAAATGTAAAATGTGTTCTACTGAAACATAACCCAATTTGGTGTCTTTGGGGTGATCAAAACTTTTGGAAAAGGCCATAATATAAATTTTGCTGAGATGGGTTCTTTAGATAATGATGAGTAAGATCTGGCAGATCAGAGACTTGGGAATTTCTGTGTTTGGTTGGTGCTTTGCCGCTAAAGTAGCTCTGGGCAGAAAGAGTGACCACGAACCCGCTGAGGGCCTAAAGAGACCCTAGGCTCAAAGCTGCTTGTCAAAAGCTCAACAGTCCTTTGAAATTTTATATTTTCTCCTTAAGACATACGTGAATTTTACATCTATTCTACTAGTTTTCATGAAAAAAAATATGAGTGACACATTTCAATGACATAATATGAAGTAAAATCTAGTAAGATGTCATGGTGATCCTCTGGCTTCTTAGACTCACTGACAGACTGCCAGATATCTCTAGGAATTTTCGAACCAGCAGGGTGAGAAGTATAATGGAAAAAACATGGCTTTTGGTGTCAGACAGACTCGGACTAAGAGCCTTTACTTACTAGCTATGTAATCCTGGGAAAGTTATTTAATCTTTTAAAATTCAGTTTCCTAATCTTTGAAAGGGGAATATTATTACCTCGCTCCTAGGTGGTTATGAACATTAAAAGAGAACAATGAATAGAAAATGCCTAACGTGGTGTCTGGCACCTCAAAGGCATGAGGGTTAAAAAGGTTGTCCTGAATGAATACCAACACACTCACATACACATATGGGGTGAAGCAATCAGCATGAGAACACTTATCAGTAGCTTTGTTACTTTATTGTTACTGTACTTTTTAAATCTCTTAATTTTCAAGTGAAGACACAGAAATTCAAAGGGATTAGGGACTAGAACTAGCATTTCTTCACCATGTTAGCTTCCTTGTGTTATTGAGTCTTGCAGCCTGAAATGCTTAAAATAATAATTCAATAATGGGTAAGTGTAGCTATTTACAGTTTAATGTTTTTGCCTATCTGATCTCATTTGATTCTTTTCACAATAATCTTATAAATTAGGTAGTGTAGTATTACTGCCCTTATTGTACGTAAATTGTGGTTCTTACAGGTGAAATGACTTGCCCACAGCTATGTAGCTATGTAATCAGCAGAGCTAAGACTAGAATCCAGGTCCTTTCACATGTAACTCAGTGCTGTTTTTGTGAACTCACAGTTGGAATATTTGCTGAACTGTGCTGAGTCTAAATGTACCTTCTGATGATGAGAGGTAAATCTTCTTCAATGACATTTACACATTAGAAACCACACAGTAGCCTATTCTCATTTTAAGTCAGGATGCCTCTTTTGGGGGCTCAAAGATTTTCAGTTCAAAAGACAGTGCGTTTGCAGTGGAAGAGTGAAATGAGTCAGTTCCAGTGTGTGAATGTGATCACTGGATTGCTGGAAGTTATGAGATGAGAAAAACACCACCATAAGTAAATAATAAACTTGATCTTGAAATCGCCTTCCTACAATCCACTTCTGAATTTGTTGGGAAAGCATTTGTTTGCTATACTGAGCATCGTGAATGACAAAGATAACTATGTCACCAGCCCTGCTCTTCAGAAGTTCATACCTCAGCAGAGCATATGTCTTAGCTCGTGAGCTAGAAATGGACTGACATAATAGCTCTCTGCTCTTGATGATACAAGAAAGATGTTTTTTTGTATCAGGAAAGTTCCAGAGCAAAAGATATGGATTTCTATATCCTAAAAAGTTACTAACTTTAAAAAATTTTCCATAGATAGCCTTGGGAATATTTTCTAAACTCAAAGGCACACGCACATGCATGTGTACACACACACACACGTGCCATGAAATGCTCATGTCAACATACAAACAAGTGGCTCTGTGAAACGTACCACAGCAGCTGGAATCTATCATTCAGCAGGCGATTGTTTTATTTTTCTCTAGAATTGGGAAAGCTTATCTAAAGTATAAATTTTAACATAATACGATATGAAGGGAGATTAGTCAGTTTAATTTTGAGTTTTTCCCCACTGTGTTGCATGGAACATAATGAAAGTAAATATTTATTGTCACTTTATTTGAAGCTTTGTACTCATGTGAAAATCATTCCCACTCATATAGTCTCGCTATCATGAAGACAGGAAGCTGAGAGCAGTGGGTGTTCGAGTTGGGGGGTAGGGAATGGGTTGTCATTTTCTTGGTAAATAACTGAGGCAGCATGATGAGCAGAATGCTTCATTAACCAGCCAGTGACTGGGGAACGGAGAGTGTGGTGTATTCCTTCCCACCCCATCTCTCCTGCAGTGGACATACAAGCACATTGATACACATGTCACTAAAGCACACGTGTAGCCTTGCGAGGCCAGAAACAGCGTTCCTGAATTAGCACACCAAATGTAGTGAGCAGCCTGAGCAGATATCTCCGTCCCTCTCCCAGCCCATCTTCCCCACCACCCTCCCAGCAATTGTTCGATGTAGCCAGAACAGATCCACATATGCACACCATTGGAATCTAGGAGCCTTCATCTGTGAGGGGGGTTGACAGAGCCCAGATACACTAAAGTGCTAGGGTATCCTCCAAAAGTTAAAAAACAAAACAAAACACCAAACAACAACAATAACAACAACAAACAGCACAGCTTTTTTTGCCCTGGCTTTCTGTGTTCTATGCACAGTATGGCCATTTTCCTAATAGTAAATGTGTCCCTTCCTTGTTTGGGAAATGCTGCATTCTTACAGGGGAGTAGAGAGCAGCAGCATTTTTTAAAGCTTCTTATCTCATAAGCCTCTGATAACGCATCCTGTGTATGCAGATATCCTGTCCAGTCTCAACTCCCCTGCCCTGTTTGGGGATCAGGATACAGTGATGAAAGCCATTCAGGAAGCTCGGAAGATGCGAGAACAGATCCAGCGGGAGCAACAACAGCAACAGCCACATGGTGTTGATGGGAAACTGTCCTCCATGAATAATATGGGGCTGAACAACTGCAGGAATGAAAAGGTAAAACTTGCTTGCCTCCTTCACTGGCTCTGCTAGACCTGTTGGCTCATTCTCATCTGGCTTCTCCCAGGCTCTCAAGCATCCACCTGCAGACAAAGATGTGTGTTCTAGTTTGAGGGCTATCTTGTATCACATTCAAGAATTACTGCTAATGAACAACACTCCCCCCCTTTTCCCACTTACGGAGGATGATCTCAGGCACCCAACCAGGCACCCAACTTACCTGCCCATTGGTGTCTTCCTGGCCCATTCCAAAAGATTTAGAAATATCTTATAATAGAGGGGATATGTGAGATCATTAGAATAAGAATAGGATACCAGAATATTTAAAAAGGAGTTAATAAATTACCGTGACTCACTGCTGAATTTATTACTAAGCTTCCTATCATCCAGAGCAAAAAATATAAAACAAAGCAGCTTACAACTGCATTCGTTGATTTTTATGGAGTTTTTTTGTTTTGTTTTGTTTTGTTTTTTTTGTTCAACAAATATTTAGCAAGAGCTTATTCTATAATAGATACTATTTTAGGCCCTGGAGATACAACAGTAAACAAATCAGATAAAAATCCCTGTTCTCATAGAGTTGACATTCTAATAGGGGAATACAGATGACCAAAAAAAAAAAATTAAATACATAATGTAGTGTCAGTGGTATTAAGAGGCGAATAAATGCCATGAGAAAAATAGAAGCAATTTCAGGGAATAGGGCGTCTTGGGTTTGCTCTTTTAGACAGGGTGATAAGGACTCTCTGAGAAAGTGACACTGAGTAGAGATGTAAATAAAGTCATAGTATAGGCAGGCCCTGCAAAGAGCAGGAGGAAGAACACCCAGCAGTGGGAACGATAAATGCAGAGGCCCCTTGCAACCAGAAGCCAGTGTGGCAGGCACAGCGTAAGAGGAGGGAAGGCATGGGACAGAGCATGTTAGACCCTGTTGGCCCTGGAAAGGTTTTGCATTTTAATCTGTTATGGGAACCTGTAGACAGGATTTGTCCAGGGAATTGACATGATATGATTTACCTATAAAAAGATTATTCCCTCTAATGTGTGAGAATGGACAATAGGAAGTTAAGAATGGAAACAGGGAGACCAGTTGAGAAGCTTCTGTAGTACACTGGGTGACAAATTCTGATTATCTGATGAATGAATGGTCCTTGCCATCCCTTGGCTTATGGCTGCATCACCCCAATTTCTGCCTCTTTCTTCATTCATATGGCTGTCTTCTGTGTCCCTGTGTCTCCAAATCTCCCCCTTCTTGGAAGGACATTAGTCATTGGATTTGTGGTCCACCCTAATCCAGGATGACCTTATTTTAACTTGATTATATATGTACAGGCCCTATTTTAAAATAAGGTACCTTTTCAGGTACCAAGGGTTGGGACTTGAATATATCCTTGAGGACACAAGTCAACCAAACAGTGGGATACGGAGCCATTGCTCATTGTTGAATCAACCTCTCATTCTTGATCTATACTTTGTAGCCACACCAGGAGACTGCTGGGGTCCTGGGAGCTGGACAGGGGTTTGAGGGGACGGGAGTATGATGGAATTCTCAAAGCGTGTCTGTGACCAAAGTCCCCACCCAGATTATGAAGCTTAGCTCTGAGCTGTCATAGTTTAATAAAAATTTCAACTTTAACTTCTCTCTGCATTGAGTTACTGATGTTAACATTAACTATATGTGTGTGTGCATGTGTGTGGTATGTGTGTGTATACTATTTAAAATTAATCATTATTACACACCCTGATTTGATCGATCCTCTTGGCAGAATGTTCAGATCAGGTAGGAGAGAGACTCTCTGAGGGAATGGTGGGTCTTTTGATGCCTATTAAGCCATAAACATTTATATTCTTGGGACTCGTTAGGCACATGCCAGGCCCTGGATATGTTCAGTCAAGTGCCTTGCTCTCCATAAAGTGTTCCATCCTTGCCAGTGGGTTCACAAGGCAGCGCCCTTCTTTAGGAACTGCCTGCATAGACGGCCAGGACCACAAGAAAATAAAGGCCTTGTCCCCAAACCTCCCCTACTGCTCTGATGTTAGAGATAAGCACAGAGATGTTCTTTTGATCTCAGATACTGTCTTCTGCTTAGTGAAACACAATGAAATACTAACATATTTAATCTCAATGTATATAACTTCATAAGACCTGAGCAGGTAAAGAAGTTTTGTCATAAGACTACTGAATGAGAAATTGGGTTAAAAACAAGAGATTGAGCATACACACCACAGGCCCTTTCCTACTGTGCAGTTTTGTCAAGGGTCAGTCCTAAAATGAATTTGAGAAACATGCCAGTGATTTGAGTCTTTTTATTTATTAATTTTCAAATGAAAATAATATATGCTTACTGAAAATTCTGGTAATACAGAAAGCTATCTGGTGAAAAGCTAATTACCCTCCTCACCCAGGTAACTACCAATAATGACTGGAAATTTTCTTTGAGTGGTAACAACCATTAGTGATTCAGAAATTTTCTTTGCATATACGAGAAAGTGCTAGTGAGTTGAAAAATATATATCCTCAGGTGGAAAAATAGTCACTGGGGAGTCACTTACCAAGTGCGTGATATTTGGCAAGTTAGTTAGCCTCCTGAATCTCAGTTTCTTTATCTATAATATGAGAGTAGCAATCTGGGTTACAATTACATAAGCTTACGTGTGTGTGAATATACGTAGCACAGCTCCTGGTACAGAGTAGGAACTTTCTTATGTGTTTTATACCTTTAAACTAAATTGTGAGTGATCTTTAAATATGTGGAACAAATATATTATTTTGTCACAGATTTGAGATCCTCACACAAAAATCAGAGGGTCAGCAGAAGGAAGCAATAGGTTTTTCAGATGTTAGAATATTGGCCAACTCACATATTTAAACTCCTTTCCAACTGAGTTGACACACAAAGCTATGGAAACTTCAGATTTATTAGATTAGATTGGGGTTTCTCAGCCTCAGCATTATTGACATTTTTAGCGTTGGAATTCTTTGTCATGGGGGTGCTAATTTGGCCTTTATTCATTAGACGCTAGCAACACTCCCCCTTTTTGTAACAACCAAAAATGTCTTCGGACATTGCCAAATGTCCCCTATCAGTGGAGTGAGAACAAAATTACCCCTAGCTGAAAACCCTTGGGCTAAATAAAATATATTTAGAATGAATACTTTTCAGAAACTTCATTTCACAAGAAAAACCAAATTATTTCATTTAAATAGCCATACTTATTGTTATTATGAAAAGTAATTTGCCTCTGATTAATGTCATAAATGAAACATTTCTCTGAAAAATGCATACAGAAATTTTTGTTTAGGATATTTACACAGAGTTAAAATGGAATATGTATGAATGCCATTTAGTTTTGAGGAAAATGGCAAATAGATTCAGCATTCTTGCAGCAACTTGGCCTTTCGGCAGAGCCCCTCTGTTGTGGAAAGCAGGCTTAGAACAGCAGCAGTCCTCCCCACGGGCACAGAACCCAGCAGTGAATTGGCACTGGCCATACCTTGCTGCCAGCAGTGACTCCCTGACACCGCAACTGAAGATGGTTAAATCCTTGTCATCAACTGGAGTCGAAATTCAAAATTAAAACACTATTAACTTCAAATATAGGTTAATTTTAAGTATTTCTTGCTGACTTTCCTTAATTCATTTTGGAGGAATAAGTCTGAGGTTCTGAAATAATAGCACCTTATTTCACATTGGAAGAGAAGGAAGGAGAGATGAGAGATTATGTTGGATTGAAAATAATGATAGTAAACCTAAACTTGACTTAAAACATATCATAAATATAGCTGAGCCTCTGAAGATAAGCAGCAGAGTGGTTTTTACAGAACCAGAATACCCTGGCTTTCCAGTTAAATGCGGTTGTCTCAGGTGGGATTTCCTGGTGGAACGTGGAGCACTGGAAAGTCTCTTATGTTCAGCGGTGTGTTCACAAGCCTCCTTAACATACGTGATCTCCCTCCCCAACGGTGTCACTCTTTAGAACATACATTTTGTGGTTTTGGAGGCTTTGTTTAGTTTCTAGAGTCAGTATCTATTCTTGTGTATTAGGTTAGTTGTAGCCAGAAGAATAAATTTAGAACAAAATTAAAGGACTCCTGTGATGGTGGCTTTGGCTTTCTTATAATCAAAAAATCCATCCTAATTTTATGAGGTTCTGTAGGACACTACTTTTTCTTCTGAGGTCAAAGAAGGTAAATATATAATGTGCAATAAGATTGATAATGTGGATTGTGACAAATTTGGTTTAACTGTCTTCAAAATTGTCTACTTTGGAATTACCTCAGTTTTCTTAAATATAAAGATCTATAAGTTAGATTTATGAATTTGTTCTTGTAACCTATAATTCAGTTTTAGATTTTTTTTTTCCACAGCGTTGCTGTCATAAAACCTTACAATTTATTAGGCATACCTGGTTACTCTCTTGTTTGGACATTCCTTACAAAATGGGTGTGTCACAGATCTGAGAAGCAGATGGTGAGATGGAGATAATCAAACAGGTTTATTGGGAGTTCTCCTTCTGACTGCCACCTATGGAAGGCAAAGGACAAAAGCAGGATTAGGCTGCAATGCCGTCTCAACCAAGACTTCAGCCAGCCCCGCAAGACAGTTTGAGGTTGCCATGGCCATTAGCTTTATATACTTGCATCAAACAGTTTTTGGGATAAGAGCTACCTTGGGAAGGGACATGACCTTGAGTGAGGTGACTCTCTTCAGCTGGGTCAATGCTAAACAGCTTCTCTGCAGCTGAGGGAATAAATCTTTCAGACTTAAAGGGAGAATCTGTATAGTGCATCACAATGTCCACGGTAGAGTGTTTTTGTGACATTTAGTAACATTAGATGTATATAAAACATATTTTGTTTGTATACATATAAATGTGGGCAGGCATTGACTACATGGGCATAGGGGTGCCTGTGTCTTTACAGCACCTAAGGAATCGCATATATGTTCATATGAATACATGTTTACCCATGGTGCACTTCACTTTATTGGGTAAAT